TCGGGTACACATTGACTCACCTAGCTCCACCAGCTCTGTCAGCATTATTATAATGCTGGACTGCTCTTGCCAGACAAGCCTCCAGAAGTCACTAATAGTAGTATCCAGTGGACCTTGTGTTGCTATGTACTGTGCCTGCAGGCCTCCAGTGGATGCTGTCTTAATGGGACTAGCATTAATGTAGGTACTACCATACACACTGGGCTCTTTTAAACTGATTACATTGTCATCAAATGGAATGCTAGCATTGTATCTGTTCTTGTGAATATTCTGAATCTTGTTACCTTTGTCTTGACTGTAGAGGTAAGATGGTAGCTCCTCAAAATCCTGTTCTAAATTGAGGTGATCCTTCACCTCACCATCCCTTGGAAGATGTCCCTCATTGTTGTGAAGTACAGGAGACAGCAGGTGGACTAAAGTCTCATCCTTCAGTCTCAAAGGTGCCTCCATATAATGGTGTACAAAACTATTGAGATTAGGAAAGACTTCATCCGGAAACAAGTGATATCCAGTTTCATTCTTTTTGATCCTAACGTGAGTGACACCTCCTTCAGTCTTTATTGACAGAGTGCAGTCCCTGGGGTTGGATTGACTTGGACGAAACAAGAACCTTCCATTCACGGTTCTTTTTAGCAATTCCTCTGCTTCAAATCCAGAGAGATTAGGATGAAACCATGGTTCACTTTCAGCAGCCATTGGTACAATATAGTTTAACTGAGAGTGGATCAGTTTAAGAATTGTCTGATGTGAAAAGTGATGACCTTTTGATAGCAGCATAAGCTTATTTGTTGTGTTGCCAAGGAGATACTGTCAACGATGCACATTAATGATATTCACGATGAAGATATGAATGAGAGAGTACAAACTGATCAAGTTGTATACTTGTAGGAAAGAGAGTTAGACTGAGTTGTTTATTATATTAAGGAAAAAGTAATCATAACATCCCAAGGACACTTAATCGTATATGCTACACAAAATATTCAAACTTAAATATTGTTAACTTAATCAATTGAAAAAGGTCTTAAACACAAGAGGAAAACACATGAACACAATTTAGATCATACAAAATCAGTCAATTAATGATGCCATACAAAATCAGTCAATTAATGATGCCATACAAAAGTGAATACTCCACTACTGCTACTACTAGTAGGATCCCACAATAGAAGGGTCATATAATCATCAAATTACATGTACTTACTATAGATTAATAATCACATTAACTATTATCAGTGTTAATATTCATCTGAAGCTCCAGCCATCAACACTAAACAGCAGAGGCAGCAAAGGCAGCAACAGCAAACAAGAGCACTTATAGCATACATTACAATAATGGTGATGAGGGAGAAATACATCAGTACAGGATTACAGTAGTAATCTCCATACTTATCACTATCATCCCAGTCACCCCAGGAACCAAAGACAAAGACATTACCAGCAATGAACCAAGCAAAGAGGAATATGACAATAAGGCCTTGGAAACAGAAGTTGGTCTTCCTGCAGAGTCTATTAGTATCACTTTCATCTTCATTCTCACGACAGCAGATCATCTTAGACATTCCACAGCATGTTTGAATTACACTGAAGCAGCCAAAGACAATAAGGAATATTGGAATAAGAGGATTGAGAGAGCAATCATTAGCATAGACTGATCCTGTAGAAATAAGTACATATTGTATTAAGAATAGTGTGTGTGTATGCTTTCCAATGACAATCATTGAAATGTTAAAGGCAAACAAGAGAAGGTAGACACAGCAAGGAAGAACTATACAAAGAAAAGTTTACGAACTATACAGTTCAAAGCTCAAACTTTATACGCAACATAAGAACATGTATATGTATCAAAAAAATCCTTGTGCTGTTGACTGAGGTACAATCTTACATGATTTGCAGATGATGTCACAGAGAGTCATTGGTACAGCAACATTTTCGGATCTTCCTTCATTCTGCTGACG